GCCCTCTCGCCCTCTCGCCTTCTTCCCCTCTCTCTCTCTCTATCTCTCGCTCTCTTTCCCTCTCCTTTTCTCTCGTTATGTCTCACTTACTTTCTCTACCCCCTTCTCTGCCCTGTCTTCCTCTGTCTCTCTCCCTCTTTCTCTCCCCGTTTCTCTCTCTCTGTTCACCCACGTCACTGCATCACTGGCGCCCCCTTCTCTCTCCCTCTCTCTTTCTCTTTCTATATCTCTTTCTAGATGTCGGTGGTGGGAAGTTTTGACTGTTTCAGCTTATCCGGTTCCTCATACTCGTGGTCTGTCGGCTGCTGCTGCTGCTGCTTCTGTTTCTGCTTCAGTTGTCGCTTGTTGAGGTCGTTGCGCGCTGTGTGACTCGGCTCCAGACCGTTGAGTGGTGTCTTGTCGTACTGCGACTTACTGATGACGGAGATGTGCTGGTTAGAGCCGTCCACCAGGTTCTCATCAAGCGAGTTCTGACTGCAGAGCGACAAACAGATATATCAGAGATAGATAGATAAATAATATTAATGAATAAATATATATATATATATTTATTTATTTATTTATTTATATGTGTGTGTGTGTATATGTGTGTGTAAGTGCGTGCGTGTGCGTGCGCGTGTGCGCGTGCGCGTGCGCGTGCGTGTGTGTGTAATAGATTTGATGTGAGGTCACGCTGGCACCAGCTCTGCTCCGCGAAGGTTCGACAGGTTCAGTGGACGGACGGACGATTGAAGGCCGAGGAAAAAGGTGGTAGTGCTTTTGGATTCTGCCGGGATAGTGGTGCTATGGCAGTATATATATATATATAGTTTATATATGGTAACGAGCCATCTTTCTCATCGCGGTGCTGTGTCGTGTGTTGTTGCAGGTCGAATCCTATCTGGATGGAGCAGTACGATCACGTGTATGCAAACAATGTGAAGGAGGATGAGGACGATACGAACAGGTGAGTGTGATTTAATGCCTATGCTATATGCTGCCATGGGTATGGCATATATATATATAGGGGCAACCGGTAGCGGATGCTGCGGCAACGGTCCTGCAGCAGAGGAAATGCTGGTAGCAGCCACGCCCGCACGCCCTGCCGCACGACTACAGCCCCGTTCACACGGTAAGAACTTACTAACGTTATAACCCGCGTTATAGCATAAATAAACATATGTAACGTAAAACGTAAATAAACATATGTAACGTAAAACGTAAATAAACGTATGTAACGTAAAACGTAAATATACGTATATAATGTAAAACGTGACAGGGCGAGGTTTATACCCAGTTCCGTTCAAACGACGTCGGTTACCCGAGATGGGATATTTTAGCCCGTATCGGAAATACATGGTTGGAATTGCGATGTGGCTCGTGACCTTAGAATGACCATGGGACGCCATATCTCTGACATTCTACGATGTAAGAGAGGGTGTAGGTCACGTGTGATCGATTTTCTAGTTTGACTCAAAGCGCCGCATAAACAGCCGAGAGGGCTCTCAAGTAACATAGAATTCTAATCAATAATTAACTGATTTATTGCGGGAAATTACGCGTCTAACTGTAACCTATCGCTACACACTTACGCATTGTAGCGCTACATTACTTCTAACATTATTCCTAAATGTTCATGATTGTAGTTTATGTCTTTCGTGCGTGATCTTGCCGGCTCTATAACGTTGTTTTTACACGTTTATTTTCATTTCTATGTGATGTGCTGGCGGGGTGGCTAAGGCAAGGGAAGTTATCTAGGAGACGGGGATAGGTGGCTGGTAGACAGGCGGGCTAGGAATACATACCCCTCGTAAGCGTACTGGTTTGTATTCGGTACACAGACTCGGTTCAATCCTGACTCCCTGGAACCTGGAACAGACGCAAGATTCACACATATACATTACAATACATCTACATATATACAAGATATACACAGTTACATCTCCTACATTCTTATTCCCTTACAGGGAACGTGATAATAACAGTAGCATGGTAGCACTAGCGCTAACAGCGGTCATGATGCTACTAGGAGTAAATAACAACAGACATGTTCTAATTCACTCGATCATGATACACTATTACACAGTTACTGTGGGAGCACCTGAGGTGTGGCCGCGTAGCAGAGACCGCGAGTGTTAATAATAATAACAATTACAAAATAATTGTTATTATCATCAGTAGGAGTAGTACATAGCAGTGTATTCCTAATAGCGAATATGACTCACCGCATCTCGCGAATATAGAGCACCAATATAAAGGCTACAGTGTGATTCATGTATTTTTTGCCCAATTAATAACTATCAGGTCCTACGTGTGGACTGCAATAGCAAGCAGCTAAAGGTTAAGACCCACCTGACTGGTAGGGACCACACGAAACTACCGCCTGGCGCTATTTCGAATTAAACTAGTAATATGCAATGAATATTTCCAACTAGTACCGTCATGCGACAATGAAGCCTGCAAGCTAAATATATATATATATATATATATATATATATATATATTAGCGTGCACTACGAGG